GGGGAACAAACAAAAAAAGGAAAAATCGATTAATTTTCCAAAAGAGACTTAATTTTTAAAAAATAGATGAATAAAATAAACAAAAACAACTGCTCTCTCATCTAAGGACAAAAATGATTCGCTACGAAGCAGGTTGTGGTTAGAGAGACGACATGAACTATCAGTTCCTTATATGATATTGAAATAAACTGATCCTTTACACAGCAAGCAAAAAAAACAACCAAACAAACAAAACAAAACAAACCCTCGCCGCCCCACACCAAAGGAACCTGAAATAAAACCCTCCACCCCCCAAACAAACAAACCAAAAAACCCCAAACAAACAGACAAATAAACAAACCCCACCAAAAAAAACAACAACAACAACAACAACCACAACAAACAAACAAACAAACGCGATAAAAAAAAAGCTCCCTAAAACGCAAAAAAAGCAACCAACCCCCCCCCCAAAAAAAAACAAAAAACAAAAACAGCAACAACAAAAAACACCCTAAAATAAACTAACAAACAAAGAAACCAGCGAAATGAATCTACATAACGAAAAAGAGTGTCATAGTAAACGCAGAAACCACGGTCAGCCCTGACGTGAACAGCGTCCCCAGTCGTGTAGCTCCGTCGCCCGGGTCTTTAGGCGGCGCCACGTCACCGTAGAAGTCGTGGAGGTTGCCCCTGACCCAATTCACGCACAGGTCAGACTGACATGAGTAGAAGCAGACCTTGAGCTCCGTGCCAAGAGACTCGCAGTACCCGCTGGCGTCCTTGTCCGCGCACGATCGCCAGAAGGCTGTCACTTTTTGTCGCTCTGCGGAAAAGACATTTCGCTACCATAATATAGTATATAGCCTAATTACAAAGTTCTGTTTGCTTAGTGAAGTACCTAGTTTTGAGAAATTTGACGTTAAAATTTGTTAGTTTCACAATATGTCCAGCTTTTTCGGATGCAATAATTGGGTGTTTTGTTAACGACTCCGACTAATCTTACGAATTTGATAGAGCAAGTAGAAAATTATTTTGGTTTCTGACGTCACGGTCTTAGTAACTCAAAACGGCCGAAAAGTCAGATAGAACTTAATAATTCTCAGAGAGCGATTTTGGTTGTTTTAAGTTTAATTAGTTCTCAGGCAACTGTGCAACAATAAGGTCACTTAAGCGCGAATATTAGAGGTGTTACAATAGAGTAACAAACACAAAATGAAGGAGGGGAGATCAGGATGATAGGCCATGTTTGATAGAGAAGGAGTAAATCACACCGAAGCAACCGCCAACCACCCACTCACATTTTGGTAGGGGTCTGGTTGGGATCTCTATTCGGAACTTACCTCGTTTTGTGCTGAAATGTTGAGAAATTTTGGTTAAGGTATTATTAAAGTCTCTATTCGGAACTTGGCCATTGCAAACTTTCGGGATTTGGGGTTGCGTAAAGGTCTTCTTAAGATCTATTCGGAACCTACTTGACCTACAACGTTACACACATCCGTGGCACCCGAAATGCTGAGAAATTCTGGATCAATGTATTTTTTCCGGTATTGATGTTAAAATCTTCGAGGTGTCTCAGCTACTTTGCACAATGCTGGGGCCTACGTAATTCATTTAGATCTGAATATAATACAATTAATATAATGGCAAATTTGTATAGCCTATAATCCTATATACTGCTCAACCTCGATTACAGAACACAGGCTTCGAGCACTTTGCAAATACAATAGCAACACATAAACAATACACTCTAACTTACATGTAAGAACATACGTGACTTTAGCTGACATTTGAATCAATAAAATAAATTTGATCTCTTTAAATACTGGGCAAAACATTGCAGATCTTGGGACTGTGATATAACGATTGCCTCTCCACCAAGTGTTTAAATTTTTTATAGAGTGTAAAAGTAATTTCCATTATAATTGTCAGCTGATGGCCTTAAACTGTGAATTGAAGTGTACAGGTTCAACAGGTTTGATAATATGATGGTGCATTATCATTCAAGCATCTAAAATGTTGCAAAACAGAGTGGCCAACTTGTACAAAATTCTTTAAAAGCCTGTGTCTTGTCCGTAAAAGATAATGTATCAGAGTCTCGCCTTCTTTTCTCTAGAACTATAATATTAGCATGTACTGCATACTCCAATGGGACAGTCGCCGGGCACTTTTAATGAACACTGGCATAAGGTGCAGCAGGGTATGTTCTCGCGTTTCTTTTTGTGCCTTTCACTAAATTCTGTACCCTAGAATTATAAAGTTCTATCTGCTCAGCATCAAGTTTTGAGAAATTTGAACCCAAAAAAAAAAAAAAATTTTTTTTAATGAGTTTAACAGCTTGGCAACAGCGTAGTTTGGACTTGAGTCCGAGTAATTATAAAATACTCCGGTGAGTACTCGAAAAAGGGAGTACTCGTACACTCTATTCCACACCATAGACTCAAACTGTTATTTGTTAATGTCTAAAGTAAAATTTACCACCCCCACCCTTCCTTTTTTTTCTCTCTGTATCATTTGCAAAAATATGATATACACACACGCGTTCACAAAAGATGCACCGAGAGAGAGAGAGAGAGAGAGAGAGAGAGAGAGAGAGAGAGAGAGAGAGAGAGAGAGAGAGAGAGAGAAAGAGAGAGAGAGAGAGAGATACAAAGACAGAGACAGAGGCAGACATACAGACACAAAGGGGGGAGAATGGAGAGGGGGGGGGGGAGAGAGAGAGAGAGAGAGAGAGAGAGAGAGAGAGTGTGTGTGTGTGTGTGTGTATGTGTGTGTGTGTGTGTGTGTGTGTGTGTGTGTGTGTTTATCTCCTTTAAACGCGTCGCAACCGACTTACGGACATCATAAGTCTCTCTCACGACACAGTAGTCCCGGCAGGTGAGGATCGAGTTCCCGGTGTAGATCTCCGGCTGATCAATGCACGCTGTGTCACCGTCAGGGTTATTCTTGTCAAAGGAATAGGAGCAGGTGGTGCACTTGAAACCTGCCAGTGAACGAAAGCTTGTCTTGTAAATCAGTGTTTAAACGTATGGTTAAATTAACCCATTGACGGCTGGCATTCTAGCCATACGACATTGCTTGAAAAGATGCTGTATTGGGGCGGAAAATGATGCATTAGGGTAGGGTTAATCCCCATATCAACACTATCGGCTTATTTAAGATACAGGACCTCCAAGTTTAGGGTCCATCTCCGAAAGGACTAAGCCAAATGGGAAATTCGTGTAAAGGGCTTTTCCCAGGAACACAAGATCGGACCGAGCTGAGGCTCGAAATCCCAAACCTGCAACCTCGCCACTACGAGTCCGGTAGCTTAACCAGATATATAACAGGGATGGTGGGAGTAGAGAAGAAGTCCTGTTATATCCGATCCCAGTTAAATCAGAAATGCAAGGAAAGTAATCATGTGTGGACTAATCCAGCTGTACTTACTCATGGGTAGTTTCCCTTGCTACAAGTACCCACGAACAGGGGTTTTGGCACCAAATTTCTCATTGCCTCCTTAAACCACATCAGAAGAGCTTGGTCCACAGCATCTGCATCGGGTAGTCTCATATCCTTTCGATCCAGAGCAAACTTTCCATTGGAGTATGCTGCCACTATCTTCTCTCTATCCTTGATAATAGTGTGAATCGACCCTTGTGGAATGTCGAACTGACGACAAATGTCTGCCAGTGGAGCCTGCTTTTAATCAACAGCCTGGATTATTTCATACATATTTTTTCCATTGAATGAAAGGCATTTTTTCTTGCGCTTGACATCATTGGTGGCCATAATGAAAGAAGTAGGCTTGGATATACAAATCTCTCTCTCTCTCTCTCTCTCTCTCTCTCTCTCTCTCTCTCTCTCTCTCTG